TTCTCATGTATACACAAAGGATATGGGTCATTTAATGACCTACATATTCTAACTTTTCTTATTAACTTCCATTTTACTGTAGGTGTTTTATTTGATTCTTTTAGGTGCCAGAAATATTTTGATAGGGATGTCTGATTTTTATATTTATTTATTCTAAATGAAGTTTGATGTTGGTTGAATCTTCTTTTGAACTCATGCCTCGTGCAACCTATATATATTTTTATGTTTTCAGGACTTTCAATCGAAGAGATATTGCATTGGTATACTACTGATTCAGTGCAACATTTATTTTGAAGAGGGCAATTATGAGGGTTTCTACAATTACATAATTTTTGTTTATTTTCATCGGTTTTTATTTTTACATTGTCTAAATTTTTTGGGTTATGGTATAAGTGTTTATTTAAGATATTAGCATTATGGTTCTTAATAATTTTTTCTAAGTTTTCCGTACAGCTGTAACTCAATTTTAGTGTGTTTTTATTGAAAATAGTACTTAGTTTACTTTCACTAGGAAAATGCTTGACTATTAATGCAAGGAATTTTTGTCCTAATTTGTACTTTACCATTTGGTTGTATGGGGGCGTATACCAAATTATTTTTCTACATCTGTTTTTCTTATGCTTTTCATTTTCATTCTTTATATTTTTTTATATAAGTTAGTTTTGGGGTTTTGTAGCCACTAACTTTTAGAGCCTTATTATAGGAATTAATATGCTCATCGAAAATCATTTGCTGAATTTGTACGTATTCGTTTACTGATAGATAACGGTATATGTTTAATTATAGTTGGGGTTGATTTGATTAATGTGTATATATAAAGGATTAGTGTTAGGTTTTTTATAAGGTGTGTATGTATTATTATTTAGATCCAATGTTATATCTAGGAAGTTCACTTTTTTAATTTAGTGCTAACCGTAATTTTTAAGCCCATGCTTTTAAATTCTTTATATAAAACCTTTCTAATTCTATTTATTTTGAAGTTGGTTGAGTTTCTAATAACCATAAGGCCATCTTATCTGTACAAACCAATGTCAATTATATTAATATCACTGTGCGCTGTAAGGTTGTATAATATAAAAAGACCTATGAGATCAGAAGTCTCAGCTGAGTCTGGTGATCCCATAGTAATGTCGAAGTGGTCATATGAATTCTTAATCCACTGCTCACCTTTATGTATAAGCACCGATTTTTTCGCATATAGAATAATGTTCTTTTCTTCATCTGTGATATCTGTATATTGGGTGGCAAAGTCCAACGCATTCAAAAATGGTTCTTTAGATATTGATGGGTAATAATTATCTATGTCAAACTGCATTAGTGTACTATTGTTTTTTTCCTTTTAAGTGAGTAAACCTGTTTATCACTTCCTTGGTATTAATCCAAAGTCTCAGGCTAATTTTTCTTTAATTTGTTAATTTACCCTTTCAAGGATTATTTTACTTATTTTTCCGATCTCCGGTCTTGTGGGATTTATTATCCTTGTATTGGGATTAGCCTCAATATCTGGTTTATGGTCCTTTAAGATTATGTAGCATTCTTTTTGATCTAGTTGACCTACCCTATCACTGATCATTAGTTTATCAGTGATATCCTTACTGCTAGTATTGATATCCCGGACTATGTTGAGGTCATTTTTATTCGCTTTCTTGTAGTTCTTATGCAAGTCCTTATTTATTAGGTCGTTGTATTCCTTTATGGTTGTTTTATAAATGTTTCCAGTTTTGTTGGATTTTACTAAAGTTTTATCTGTAACCTTTTTTATCCTTTACAATCCTATCAAGGCGTTTCTGGAAGTAGCTTTTCTTGTCATGGAAATTTATGTTGTTAATTATTTCCAGTAGGTCCTTTTCGAAAGCGGACAAACTATGAATAAATGGTGCTGCATTTTTACTATTAAAACCGCAAGTTTCCTTGTAGTTTTTGTTTTTTGATTCGTTCTTATTAAGGAAGAAGTTAGCTCTCCATCTCATCCTACGTATTAGTTCCTCTGTTTTTTTCATTAACATCACGAAATATTCCTTTTATTAGTATTAGGAATGTTCTTCAGAGAAATTCAAAATTTATTTTCTCATATTTTTTCTTGTTAAATATATATATATATATATATATATATATATATATATATATATATATATATATATATATATAAACTACTATATGTTCGATAACCAATTGTGCTCAAGATAAACCTTCAATAAAATTATCTATGATCTGGAATTGTAATCAAATCAGTGATAAAACTTACTTTGAATCTATCCTAAATAATCAGGGTATGAAATTATTAAATACTAAAGACTTTAGTTAATTCGGTGTACGAATCAAGTATATGGAAATAGAATAGGAGATGAAAGGGTGATATTGTCCAATACTTCAAGTTACTACAATATCAAAACATTAACCTAAAACCTCGGTTCTTGTTCTTAAATAGCCTTGTTAAATCTCGATTCTATACATTACCTTGCATGGCTCACAGCCAGTTCAGAAATGTCTGAATTGTCAATTGTATACAACCGCTTTCTATGATCTATTTGTAAAAAATGGCTTCAAGCAAATGAAGCCTGTATATCTTAGCGCTTGGATTGGCGCTACAGAATCACGAACAGAAAACCCTACCCAAGTACAATGTACCTCGAAGAAGAAATTATGTCAGAATGAAGATTTTGCATTTCCACACTTCATGCAAATGTCTAGCAAGGAACTCCTCATCAATGCTGGTAAGTCCGATAACATAGCGATAAAAGTAACTGACATTGAGAAACTTATTTGTTTTATTTGTTAAATAGAAAGATTTTATAAATTTCAACCGCAAACAGAGCTGGCTGTTTGCTGACTGAGAACTGCATAATTTCATGTAAGGATTCGACTGATTTTGCCATTACACTTCCAGCATATATAAAAATCAACACTTGTCCGTGAGTAGGCTTACGGCCATATCTCATGAAGTACCGTTTCTCGTCCAATTACCGAAGTTCAATACCTGACTGCATAACCGTTTGAAAATACCAGAATTAGGTTGGATGCGCGGATAGTGCAATGGATAAAAGTTCGCAATTGAAACTTGAAGAGCCGCGTTCTAATTCCAGTCGGATTTGTTACATTCACATGTTTCAGTGTTTTACTTCTTATCCCCCAGTTAATTAATAGCAATTTTATCAGTAAAACATTACTATTTAAAAGAAAGAAGATAATTCATACAATCTAAATGTGTTCTTCCTATAAATATCCTTCGAAAGGTTGATGAGCCTGAAAAAACAAATGAATCAATCAGTAGTGTGTGGCGTCTTGGGTATGACGATAAACTACATCCGTGTCCTTGGTATAACGGTAAACCTGGTCCAACTGCCATGCCTCTGATCACGAGGTTTTGAGGAGCGTGAAACCACCTTTTAGTTGCTGGTGTTCCTAGGTCCACCCTGTCCCGGGGTGGTAGTCCCTGTTAGGGTCCCAACTATGGGTAAATAGTTAACCCCGAATCTGAGGTAAAAAGCATTATAAAAGTGTAAAAATATGTTTTAATACCAGAAATATTTTGTAAAAAAAAAAATTACCAGAAATAAATGTTTGAAGAAAAAAAATATTATCAGCAATACATGTTTTAAAATAATATTACCAGAAATAGATTTTTGACAAAACAATATATTACCAGAAAAAATAGAAAAGTTGTCGGCATTAAATAACTTATTGAGGATATGCCGTAAAACACAATAAATCAAACAAGCCAATTCAGTAGTGTGTGAGTCCACAAGACTCAGTGAAATCTTTGAAATAAAATAAATCCAAGTTGTCTATCATATATATGTACAGTGTAGCGGTTACCTGTAGGTATTTAGGTTAGCGTTTCGAGTTCGAATAGCAAGCGAGGCCGTTGTGTTCATACAAATAAAATTAGGATACATTTAATTTGTTTCTCATCTGCGGTAGTTGGTAATAACAAGACAGGCTTGATTTCTTGCTTTAGTTGGGAAACTCTTCTATTAGAATGAAAACTCACTGGATTCTAAACAATTTGGTCGTGGGACCAAATGAAGGAGAGAAAGAAACTACTTTTAATCCTTCTTCTAGGCGCCGTGTCCCTTCAGAGCGTGGACGATCATGGTTCTCCACAACACCATATCCTGTGTAGCGCTTAGTAACATTTGGCAATCCAGCATCCATTCACACATACCCTGTCCATCCAGCTCTGGATATGCACGGTGAATAGCAAATTCTTTAAGCGACCCTTCTTTATGATGTTTTCCAGAATTTTCAGCTCTCTCTTTCTGATTTTGAGTAGTAGTAATAGTAGTAGTAATCTTATTATTATTATTATTATTATTATTATTACACCACCACACATCTAAACTTAAAGTACCTGGTATTTCCCATCTTGATACTGACCAGGTTCGATGTTGCTTAACTTCGGGGAATCGTTTGGCAACTGGTGTTTCAAAGTGATATGGCCGTCCGTACGCCTGTTTATTGCTTAAGCCAATATATTATAGATTATGTAGCTATATTGCTAATTTCATCAACTTTATAGGGAATAAACGAACATTTTAAAAGTATATTTAAATATAGACAGATATATGTTCAAACAAATTGGAAGGAGAGAAAGAATTAACCAAAAATAATAATGATAATAATTACTCACCGTAGAATAGTGGATCGGAACATAATTTTTAAAAAAAGAGGAAAAAAATTAAAAAAATAGATTGATATCTAAAGACAATTACAGAGAAACAGTTATTATATTTGGGAAAAATTCCAAACCAGTTATTTGCAATACGAAAGACGATTAAAAACTCGAATATTAAATATTATGTCTGGACCAGTTTCTCTTGAATAAATAGAATTCGCTCACCATATACCATAGCCTGTCTGAAGATATTTCGAATACATTACAATTTTCACAAAATAAAGCACAAGTATTTTTTATACAATTACATAGCAATTACTGACTCATATTATTGAGTCATGTACTTCATATCGATGTCCATATTTACCTCTGGCAGCATTTGAAGATGGGGAAGAAATGGCTTCCGTTATTATTTTCTGGGCGTATTTTTATTTACATAAAGTTAAAAAGTAATAAAATTCAGTTATCTGCCACGTCTTTTCATGATAACCGCTTCTGTCTGTCTGTGTCCTTCTCTCTCTTTCTCTATATGTCTGTCTGTCTCTGTCGGTCTTTCTCTATATGTCTGTCTGTCTGTCTCTCTTTCTCTATATATCTGTCTGTCTGTCTGTCTTTCTCTCTTTCTCTATATATCTGTCTGTCTGTCTGTCTATCTCTCTTTCTCTATATATCTGTCTGTCTGTCTGTCTCTCTTTCAGTCTGTCTCCTTCTGTCTCTCTTTCAATTATTGTATGTTCAGCTAAGTTCGAATTCCAGTTGGGTTCGTTACATTCACTTACGCGCCATTACCCTTTAGAAAGAAATTAATCTATATCCCCCTCTCAGCAGTGGGTTAAATAGTAGGAGGTTTATCTGGAGAAATCTTATGTTATTCTTTAAAATTGTTAATATTCTCTTGCAAAAAAAGATAAAATAATTATTCTTACACAAAAAAAAAAAAACATGCTCCGGCCTTACTTAACCGACAATGGGTTGATATTCCATAAAAAATAAAATCAATCAACTGTCCATTTTGGCTTCATTCCCCGAAATTAGTTCACCTCTCTCTACTTATTTCCAAAGTTTCTTCTGTCCGACTGAAAAGGTTCGATGTTCGTCCCACTACTTTGAGATCCTGGATGACTGCTCTCTGGTATTCTTTGAAATCAAGAATGTACGTGGCGTCAAACTACGACTAAATTAATGCATTTCGCCCTTATTTTCCAGACATATTTGAAGAAAAGGAACTTAATTTATCTGTATCTTCAATCATCAAAAATTCGCCAGTTGATAAGTATTGATTTCTTAAAACTGCATACATGTCGCTTTTGTAGCTGAATAAAAATTGCCAGCTGTATTTCACTTGAACTTCAATCAACGTTCTTCTAACAATACGACATGCTTCCGTTTTCTTTCCGATTTGTATTCATCCCGAGGAACACATTAGTCGCTGTTGTCGGCTGAAAAGTTGATTCTTGTTCGCCATCCCATTTACAAATAAGTACGAGACCGAAGGTGTTAATCTTCTGGTTATATATTGTTTTGTACGATCTTACTGGTTCTGCGCATGCGTGGTAGGATTACGGCCCAGAGCTGTTATCAACTTCTTACCCAGCTTACTGAGCGCAGTGTGGACTTTAGGCGAGGGCAGAAATCCAGGAAAATCCACGAGCTGCCCAAAAGCGGTGTCTGTGTTTCTTAGGAGGATTTTCTTTGATTCCTGCTCTTATGGCTGCTTGCAATCTTTCTTTCTCTAGAATATTTGATGTATTTATTTCACACACGATGCTGTTTTGTAACCGGTTTCTTTTCGCTTTTTTAAGTCTTTATCGATTCCGTTCAAGAAATCCTTTTTGTTGTTCATTTTCTCTTTCAGTCTTTTTTCTTTCTTAGTTTTCTGTTTATCTTTTTTTTTTTTTGATTTTCCTAATTTTCTTTCTTTCTTTATGTTCAAGATTTTCTTCTTTAACTTTGCTTTGCTTTTGTTTATACTATCTCTTCTTTCTTTCTTTCTTTCTTTTCTTTCTTCTTTATTTCAGTTTATTTATTTATTTGTTTCTTTCTTTATTCTCAAGATTTTCTTCTTTCATTTTGCTTTTCTTTTGTTTTTATTATCACTTCTTTCTTTCTTTCTTTCTTTCTTTCTTTCCTTTCTTTCTTTTTTTATTTCCATTTTTTATTTCATTGTTTCTTTCTTTATTTATTCTCAAGGTTTTCCTTCTTTCTTCTTTCACTTTGCATTTCTTGTTTGTCCTATCCTTTTTTCTTTCCTTTCTTTCTTTCTTTCTTTCTTTAATTGTATATTTTTCATTCCTTTTGCTTTTATTTCTCGTTTCTTTTCTTTGTCCTTTCTCTTCTTTCTTTCTTTCTTTCTTTCTTTCTTTCTTTCTTACCTTTCTTTATTCTCAAGATTTTCTTTTTTCCCTTTGCCTTTCTTTTCTTTGTACTTCCGATTTTTACTTTCCTTTTTTTGCGTTCCTTTCTTTCTTTCTTTCATATTTCTTTTTTCTCCGTATATTTTACATTCCATTTGGTTTTCTTTCTTTCTCTTTTCTTTTCTTTGTCCTTCCTCTTCTTTCTCTCTTTCCTTTTCTTTTTCTTTCTTTATTTCTTTATCTATTTATTTCACAGCAGAAATTCATCGATTTCCTTTTCTTTTTTTCGAATTATATTTTCAATCAACTATTCTTTCTTTCTTAATATATTTTTTATTCAATTTCCCTTTTTTCTTTCTCGTGCTTTAGACCTCTCGGTCACAGTGAGCGTCACGACTCAGCAAATTGATATTTTCCATTTGAAGTATTCCACATTAAGCATGCAGGACTGGGAGGTTGTTCCTTCAAGAAAGCGGGACGCAAGGTCAAACCCTACCTGAGAGCGCTCTCATATTTATGAGGATTTCTCGAGTGCGCAGCCCGACAGACGTAATACACGCCGTTTAAAATTAAAAACAAAATGGGGCGTCTATTTCAAACACTGGTATCTGTTAAAACTACAGCTTGAAGTACAAAAAAAAATGTCGGGTTAAATATAAATTCATCAATTCTTTAAAAATTGCTTTGTTTATGATTCGGATACAAAACTGAGCACATATGAAATTTCGAGAAAAATCTCAACGAGGGAGTGTGCATTCTTTAAAAAGGGAAAATAAGACTTGCTGGATTGTGACGCTCTCTGGGTGTTCTAAAGCAAGCCGTATCTAACGGTAGTTTCTCTTAAAAAGGGGCACGCAGTTTCCGACCATGCGGAGGAGCATATTTTTTTATTTACATTTCTCGAATGTGCAGGCTGAGATGCCAAGCACAGTGTTTAATACAACAACGCGTCTATTTAAACACGGGTATCCACTAACAATAAAGTTAGGAGTAATAAAATTGATAGACATCAACAGACTGTTATCAATAGTTACTTACTTACTTGGTGCGGCATTCACCCTGGGCGGATTGAGCCGGCTTCTTCCTGTTGTGAGAAGAAGATTCTTGGGATAAATTACAGAAGTAGGGTACCCAGGCCTACTCGAATAACGTTCTTGCTTGCCGCGGATTCCCACAGACGCAGAGACAGGAACGACCAGAAGCCGCCGGCTGCCGATGCAGACGCTCCTTGATTTTCACCAGAGCCCTTGTTAGCGGCGCGTGTGTCAGACCTGTCCGCCTTGGGTGGCCCTACCAGGAACGAAGATCCGGACGGCATAGCTCTGACACTACCGTTTACACCCCCCCCACCGACTGTGAGGTAAGGGTTGGACTTTGGGGGCTTACAGTACCAGGTGTTCTCAAGCGGTCCCCCATCTAAGTACTGACCTGGCTCTACGATGCTTAACTTCGGTGATCGAGCGAGAACCGGTGTTTTCAGCGTGATTTGACCGTAAGTTATCAATAGTTAGAAACAGTGAAATAATTATCGATACTTTGCCATCTCTCTCTCTCTCTCTCTCTCTCTCTCTCTCTCTCTCTCTCTCTCTCTCTCTGTATTGGTAAGAGAAATCTGATTATCCTTATTTTTTTTTATTTTAGTTCGCAACCATACTACTCATACCAGCAAAGAGACAGATTAAAGGATATTAAGCTTATCAGCGGGTATGGTTTTCCTTTACTTTTTTTACTTGTCTCCAAGTTTGTTATTTTACAATTCAGCCCAGGTTAGGAATTGAGTATGAGGTCGGATAAAAAAGTATCCGTACTGGTGCTACAAAAAGAAAACTACGATATATATCAATTCGCCATTTAATCTCCTTCGAAGTAGTCTCTTTTTAAAGCCACACACTTTAACCATCGCCGTTTTCATTGATGGAAACATTCTTGGAACGTTTTGGTGACGGAGCGGAATAGCTACCAGCTGACTTGTCCCATTCTTTTGAATTTCCTCGACGTCTTGAAATCATGTTCCTTTCAAGTGGAATTTGGTTTTGAGAAAGTGGAAAAAATCGCGAAAAAGCAGCATCTGATTCAGATTCTCCATTCATCTTGAGCTTCATGACCACATCAAAAAAAAGATCTGTAATGTAATGTGACAGGGATGCACAGTGGAGTAATGGATAGCGGATGGGAGTGAGGAATCAGAGAGCCGAGTTCGAATTCCAGTCGAATCCGTTACATTCTCTTATGTACTAATAACCTTGGGAAAGGTACGAATCCTCTTCTTTTCCCCCAGCTATGGGTAAATAACAGGACAGACCGGGTTCTATAGCCTTGGATGGCAGCTGGTCTATCGTAGAAAGAAATGGCAACCTACTACAGCAAAAAATGCCACGTCAGTCATGTATCGAGAGATACGTGATCGACTAAGCGTCTATGGCACATAACTGACTGAATGTAATGACTTGGCATCTCGACTTTAATCACTTTCTCACCAACATTAAGTGGGTTCTCCCTGCCTTTTCTACAGATATTTTCATGGCAACTACTCTGATGAGTTTTTTGTTCGTTGTCCCGACTACATTAATTTAAACGTGAAACTAGATTGGCGTCTAGGTCGCCCCTGTTTACTGTTGAAATAGTTAAATGCAGCCGGCATTTCTATTCCAACAGTTTACTTTCTCGTATTTGCTTCCCTGATAAACACAGTCTTCAGAAATTTAAATGAAACGTCAATCGCTATCTTTTATCTACTTGAATCCAATTCATCATTTGTCCTTTCCTCAATCCTCTCTATACTTAGTCTTTTCTCTATACTTGCACCCTCTGCACGCCCGGCGTATTGCAGCACTCCCGCCTTGCTTAGGGTAAAATGATTTAAAAAATTGAAATGAAAGAAGGAAACCAGAGTGACCTATTTCTTTTAATATAGATTTTTGTGTTTAATATTCGTGGACTATACTCTAGTAACAAATATAAACCACTTAATCAGTTCGAGGTTGTATATTTATATACTGTACTAAGAGCATGGCCCGGCGTTGCCCGTGCTTGATTAAAAAATCGTACGACTCATACAGCAATCGCTATCACTTGACTTAAAATATTATTGCCCTTCCTTGCCTTTAAAGGAATGCCCTTTGCTGTACTGATGTTGCTACATGCCTTACTTCTTGCCTATCTCACACTGCGAATTTTTTCTAAGGTCTATACTAAACATTAAATCTGTTACGTAAAAAGAACTAAACAAAATGAACACAAAACGATCAGCTTTAAAAAAGGACTCGTAACTGGAAAAATCGAATGAAAAAAGAATGTTAACAAAAAATACATTTTTACACCCAACCCAGTTCTGCGGAATCAGAATCAACGTTGAGTTTAAGCAAGCGAATGAGCCAATTGGAGTAAAGTGCCATGCAGATTTAAATTTTTCCCACTTGTGACGAATTCAGCTATCGAGTTTTGTTTTTTTTTTGCATACTAGCATGCTAGATAAAATTTTTGTCAATCAGCTGTTGGCTCTCACGCTGGCCAATAGAATCTTCCTGCCTATTCGTGGCAGCCAGCTATTGGCTCTCACTGTGGCCAGTAGAAAATGGCCGCAAACTACATGAAAACTGCCGTAGAAGCATGAAAATATCGATTAATTCCACTATCGCTGGGAGTTGGGAAATGCAAAGTCAGTCTTGGCCTTCTCGGTAACTTGGAGCATGTGCATGTAAATTTTGGTGCAAATCTGTCGAAAATTGCAGCCGTGCATTCGTTACACAAACACACACACACATCCTGCCTTTTATAGATAGAGATTCGGAAAAAACAAAAACAAAACAAAACTTTGTTTCAGCGTTTATGGTTTTCAATCACTCATGTGGTAGCCATTTTGAAGTAGTTAACCTAACTTAATTTACATAATTCAGCATAAATACTTCAGCTTCCAGAAAATAGATGGTCACTTAGTGCTCACCGGGCCAAATGAGGAAACATTTTAAAACCAAAATATCAAATTCAGCATCCAGAAACGTAACGGATGGAAAGTTAATGAATTAGATAATAATGCGTTGTTGAGTGTTCATGTATATTTAATATTTTTCATTTTTTTTTAAATACACTCCTGCCGTCTTTTTCATCTGCAACGTTTTTTGGCGTTGACATCATCCTCAAATTCCATCTTGCTTTTTAATCTATTAGCTCTCCCACTAATTGTTCTAGAAAGGGTTCAAGAGACATCAAATTTCATCATTATTCCAATATATTCTTTCATAATCTTGTTGGCTTCAAATCTGTTTATTTATACTTCGCCCGTTATTTTAGGGAATGTTTATCGTTGATGTTCCAGGGTCTTTAATAATGACTGGTACCAACAATTTTCTTGGATGGTCCAAGTTCTTTGACGAGCGTCATGGATTTATCGAGCATTTCATGTGTAAATTTTCAATACGACATACAAGAACGGCAATTATGATGGATTATTTTCTTTGTTTACGGCGACAATCTGTTTAAAATAAAATATCCCAAAATAAATGTTTTTTTTTTCTAATTTTGTACCATAGTCTGTTTCAGATTCCCTTTTTTTGAAAATAATTCTATAGGATTTGTCTCAGGGTTATTCATTTCTTCGCCCATAGAATAGCTTCTTGTCTCTGGCATAATTCTTATTTTGTAGAATAGGTTTTTCTGGCTTCTTTTGTTTCAAATTCTGTAGAATTATTTCTTGTTTAGACGCTTTTTACCAATTCTCTGCAATAGTTCATATCTTCATTGCGTTTCTAATTCTGTAGAATAATTTTTTGTCTAGCCTATTTTTTTTTAATTATGAAGAATATCGTAAATTACGGCGTTCAATTAGATGTGAATATTGTCAGATCAAAATTCTGAGTTAGGCCAAATACCAATGGTATAAGGTCGGCCCCCAAACGTAAAGTAAGCTACCAGGGACTCAAAACTTAGCCCTACAGAAGTTAGGCTACAGCATACGATAACCTGTGACAAAATTACATAAGGAAGAAAGTGGATGGCAGAACGTTGTCTGGGGGAAGAAAACAGAGGGGAGGGACTTGTTGAGAGCTGAAAAGTATAGAGGGAGGTAGAGAGCCATGATCGCCTACGTTCGGAAAGGAAATGGCATATAAAAATAAAAAATAGCAAACAACCTACAGCACACACTGGTAGGTACCATATATTTTATCTGTGTAACTTTAAAATTCGTCACGTCTAATGATAAACACTTGAAAGTCAATATCAGCTACTATAAAATATTAAAACCGTAGATTAAATATCATATCAGAAAGTCTTTTGATAATACTGTTTTTATCGTATGTTATTGTAAAACACAGTATCACTCATTCG